GCATTTCTGAGTACCTTTACATGATCCCCCCCCCCCCCCCCGAAAGCCATTTGACCTAATGAGGTGTGGGTTGAGAGTTGAAAGAGGACAAATGTTTTCACTTTTCTGTTGTTCTGCGTTTGCTAGAAATTGGGATTTTTGCTTAGCTTGCTTTTTTAAAAAAAACTCTTCAATTTATGTTTAATAAATAATTGTATGGGTTTATACATTTTGTAAGGTAAGTTTATTTTATACCTGGTACATTATCTCCTACATGTGTGAACTCAGTCTGCCATTTTCAACCAGATTCTTCTTAATTAACTCAAAGTATCCACCATTATTTAAGAAATAGATTTTTTTAAATTAAATACTTACTAGAAATGCTCATTAGTATTTAAATGCCATCTGCCATTTGGTGACCTGACTTAACTCAGGATAGCTTTAAGAATTTAACTGGGTGCTTCCGGTAATAAAAGCTAGATTCCTGGTAACACCCCATATAGTCTCTCCCATAATGATGAAGTACTTTTAGTTTCTGCCTTAATACTCAGACATCCTAGCTTAAAATGGCAAGACTTTGTTGTTGGACTTCGAGATGAGTTATAATATAAGGTAAAATGATATGGTGAGGTTCAGCAATAGCTAATGGAATCTAGTGGCTACGTCAGAGTTGGGGAAACCCCCAGGTCTAATTTTATCTTGATGTGAATTTCCTAAGTAGCCCTTAGTCAAGCCACCACTCCAATGAAGAAAAAATACAGTTTACAAAATCCCAGCTTACAGAGAAAGCAGGTGTGACTTACTCTCTGTATGGGGCTGTCAACAAGACAAGAGATGCCTTTCAGGTTTTCCATCTCCCTGTAACATTAGCATAGCGTGCAAATGTCTTGTGTTTCCTTGCCTGAGCCAGTAATGTGGAGTAGGGAGCACTTTACTGTGTGAAATGGATCAAGTATGTATTTTCAATGTACAAGTGAACAACAAATGCTTCCCTTTCTGTTTTAACATTGTGATCTTTCTGTTTTATTTCATTCTTGTGCAGTTCACAGCTTCAGAGCGTGGGGAATTATACGCTTTTAATGTACAATCTCTTTTACTACCTGCCCTGCACTTACCAATGGTGCTGTGTGCAAATAATGGCTACTTTGGGTGTGGCAGTTGCTCTAGCTTCTAGAGATTGCGAGCAAATCAAATCAAGGAAGCGGTACAAAGGCAAAGCCCCATTAGCTGCAGCAGTGAGGCAGGCGGCACATAGGAAAATTGCCTTATGCTGATGAATATCTTAGCTAGGGTTTCTGGTAAATAAGCCAAGAACTATACCTTAGAGAACTGACAGTCTTTCTCTTGAGATGAAACTACAAATAGTATGTGCAAGCGGAACTTGACTTTAACCATGAAAAATGCTTTGTTGCTATGGAAGAATTAAGTAAAAGGTTGAAGTGAACTCGTGCAACCATGAAACTAGCTCCCTGGTATTAGCAGTTAAATATGAGTTGAGGGTCAAATATGGCATAAAACCTGTTCCATTCAATCATAACAGATTGGGAAGAATTACTATGTGACTAAACAGGTTGCTTTGGTTAAGGTGCATTAGAGCAATTTAAATAACCTCTTCCTAAGAATGACATCCCACACTAGCAGCTAGGTGGACAAACACCTGTGCCTAGGATTGCACCACTGCCTAGTAAGTAATGTAACTGCATAGCATACATGAGACTGCTGGAAGCACACTGCTGTATCTCTGTGGTTTTTTTAATGCACAGTCCCTGTTGTGTCCTCCCCTCTCCCCATTTACTAGCACAGATAATCTACAGTTAAGACCAGCTAGGATCTGAAATAGTGGCTTGAAGTCATTTTATGTAGTGATGTGACAGAATTGTCCCTACTCCCACTGTCTCTGAGCCTGACAAAATTGTCCCTACTCCCACTGTCTCTCATCCCCCCAGTGGGGGGATGCAGTAAGGTAGCTGGAAAAAGGCACAGTTTGAAATTGCTCATATGTTCTTGGTGTGTGCCTACACGCTCACATAAACACACATTTTTGTTGGTGTCTAAAAACAGCTTGCCCTTTAAGGTATAAAAGTGAGGAAGATCTACAATTTCAGACAAAACTAGTAGTTGCTTGTCCAGACTCCTTTAAACAAGGTGTGCATTTCCCAGCAAGACTTGGCCAGTTCTGGATATATGCATCTCAGGTTGGTGTTTGATCAGAAGCAGAGGACTAAAAAAATGATCACAAGGATGACGATAATAACAATGTTATTTTCATTTTGTCTTTGTATGAAGTAGTTAATACATCCTATGAGCTCAGCCCAGACTCTTTTGTTAATAAGTTCACATGTTGGAGAATTCCATTTGCTCACTGACAGAATTGTTTTGGTTTCTGTATGACATACTGCAAGACTGCCTAAAGTAGTAAACACCAGAGGATCAGGTTGAAGGGGCAAGTAGAAATCCCATCAAACAGAATGCAGAGCAAATGCCAGTATAGTATGTTGGATATTATGGCACTGTAGCATGTTGCATAAAGTATGAGAAATGAACACATCACAGAGCTTGGAGTCATAAGGTCACTACTAGGCAGTGCCTGAATAATCCTGGTGATACCTGGCAATTACGGTGCATTTTGTAATCCCTCGATCCAATAGGAAAAAATTAAATGCAATGCATTACTCCCTGCTTCATTTATAGTACTTAATCTCTGATCAGACATTTCCTCCCATAGTAGTTCTTTACTTTAAAAAAGCACCCTTTTAGTTCGGTCTGATGGTCATGAGATTATAATCATTTGAAAAGATTATAAATGTAGACCTTTGGTTTTATGTCCAGTCTGTTTCAAACTAGATTGATTTGAGAAGGTTAAAGAAATGTACAGTTGGTTTCTTGTTCTAACTCTATATTAAGGTATTGTAAAATATACCACAGACCCTATTCTCATTTCATTTCAAAAGCAGTGTTCTGGTGATACAGCAATTTATCTTTCAGTTTCAGGTACAGCTGATTCAAAAATGAAGAGTTCTATCATATATTTAGGAACTGATGTTAATTGCTTATTTAAAATAAGTTTTCAGCCATTAATTGCAAACATGATGGCTACGAAATATTAGTGTACTTTGGAGATGTCATATTGGGGAGAAGTGTCATTTTTGTGTTTATGGGGAAAATATTTTTAAAAATTGTCAAAGCAGATTTTTATGATGTAAATTTAGGATTTGAATGTGGTACTTCTTAAGGTATAATTGTCTGCATTTTTGGTGAAATGTTCATATAGTTTATAATATATGCATATGTGTATGTATTGATCGGTGGATTAATTGGCTATAATCTTGTATGGTTTTTTATGTATACAGAAACATCTTAGTTATGGTGTTACATACTAAAACAAGGCAAAACTATTCTTCAATCCCACCTAAACACAATCAGTTACTTCAGGCAATGAAGGGGGGTCTGTTCTCCGCTTTTCAGGAAGAGGTTGACTGGGCTTCTACTTCTCATGAGTGATCCTCATTGCAACAAGCCAGAACATGATCTCTATCACAGTTCCCTTTGTGCCAGATATCATGGGGGTGAACACAGCAGCCAGCTGCTTCCTAAAAAACAGGGGTACACATTCTTGATAATTGCAGTGACTGCTGCCCAGTAAGTAGGGATTGGGGCCTTTCATGACCCCTAAGAATCCCCTAAACTAGTGGCTACAAAGGGACCGTTGAGTATAAAACAATCTGGGTTACAGTATTCTGTCCGTAATGGATAAGTTTCAGGTGATTCTTTATATATTATATGATTTATATACATTTTACATCCACATTTCTTTTATTTATTTCAGTTTTTGAAAGGTTTTATTTATTTTTTAAAATTCCTGAAAATAGTTGTTGCTGTAACACGGTGCCGTGATCTTGCCTTCTGGGAAAAGGAATTCAATAAATTCCCAGATTGAAAACAATGGCTACTGGCCTTGCACTATAACTATATTTGAAGACTGGTTCTTGTTCTAATAGACATACACATGAACCCCCATCCCAAACACTTAATTTTTTTTGTAGTAAATAGCTGTCCTTATGTTCTCTCCTTTGAGTTTAATTCTCATCTACATGAGAATTTAAAAATGGCTTCCAAATATCCTACCTAGGAGCATAGTGGGGTCTCCTTCTCTGGAGGTTTTTAAGTTGAGGCTGAATGGCCATCTGTTGGGGGTGCTTTAATTGTGTGTTTCCACGTGGTAGAATGGGGTTGGACTGGATGGCCCTTGGGCTTGCTCCCAACTGTAGGAGTCTATAATTTTGTGTTTTGTAACAAAGGCAGTGTTCTTGCTCAAATACTTTTTTTGCTTGAGTAGCCAAGTAGCCAACCTCGGGTGTATGTGAGGATAGGATGGAAGCCTGGAGTATTTGTAATGTTTGTTTGTAATGGGATAATATATGCACACAGACACATACATGTACGTGCATCTATCTATCTATCTATCTATCTATCTATCTATCTATCTATCTATCTATCTATCTTATGATTAGGATACGATGGTAGTGTAATAAGAGGAGATGGATTCCCCTGATACTCACAGGTACAATTTGCAGTGTGTTAAGCACAGATTGATGGTCAGTTTAATATTTTGTATGCACAGAAAATAGTATATCAGATTTAAATTATGAGCTGTCCAACTTAGGCTCCATGTTTAGTCACTTGGCTTTGGCTCCTTCCTCTGGGCAATAAAGATTTTTATTGGGCTTCAAGACGAGAGATTGTTTATCCTACTTTGTACTGGGTGTCCTGTAATTTGTCCCCCAGCAGTTTGCACTCTGACAGCTCCAAATGGGCTCAAATGTATTATTTATTTATTTATTTACTACATTTATATATTGCTTTTCTCCCCCTAAGGGAACTTATAAATTTAAGCCACAAATATACAAAATGTGTTATATAAATTATTAATAATGAATGTGGGTTGTTGTGGTTTTTTTGTGGTTCTTGTGGTTTATGGCTAAAATAACAAAAGTCAAAGTAAAATCCCTCTGTATTCTTAGGAAACACTTCGCATCCTACATGAACTACGAAAACCCTCCACCGTATACTGGCCCGCATCCAGCTGCCCCGTATCCACCTTATACTCAGCAACCAGGTGGACCACCAGGTCCCGGCCCCTACCCTGGCTACCCACCGGGGCCTCCAGGGCCTCCGGGGCCAGGCTACCAAGGCTACCCACAGTACGGATGGCAGAATGCTCCTCCGCCTCCAGGACCAGTCTATGCAGATGGACCCAAAAATACAGGTATTATATATAGTGTGTGTAATGGAACTGTGCTTGATTTAGTGCATTTCCTTCTATTATACAACTGAGTAATCTCCCAAGCACTCTAATGAAAGAGGCCTAATAACAACAAGAGAAGGTACTCCTCAAAGTTGCTATGCTTTTATATGTTCTGCTAGTCCTTTGATAGATTATGAGATTTCTGTTATGTGTGTTATGTGTCTCCTCTCTGGCTGTTCACAGCCTTTTTAAAATTTATATAATTTATATATGTGTAATTTATATTAATTGATAGTCACTGTTTATTTTGAAATCATCAGTAGTGTGTCTTACTGAGATCATTTCAGTCAGTTGTTCTAAATCATTGTCCTTCCAGATGTTTTGGACTTCTGCTTCCAGAATTCTTTAGTAGTGTCAGGGATTCTGAGAGGTGGGGTCCAAAACATCTGGAAAGACAAAGATTCAGAATTTAAATAATAGTGAAATGATGCTCATGTTATATTTAGTTTATAGCTCTTCCTCTGTAACTCAGAACATTGTATTCAATGCCAACTCTAAATGCCTATCTGAAATATGTTCTTGTGGGTTTCCTTACTCTTTTCAGATTCAGACTCTGTTCATTGCTGCGTTGCAAGTCATTCATTCTTTAATAATAATAATAATAATAATAATAATAATAATAATAATAATAATAATTTATTTATACCCCACCACCATCTCCCTGAAGGAACTCGGGCCGGCTTATATGAGGCCAAGCCCATCAAATACAAATACAACAATACATCAACAAACAAGCAAGCAAATAAAACAATATAAATAATACAGTTAAACATGTAAAAGCAATACACACAAAAGATTTAAAACACCATGCCAGGGCCAGATGTAGATTAAAATTTTAAAACCCTGGGCATGTACAATATGTTATGTCTAAACATGGGGTTTTTAAAGAGTGATTTGGGGGGGATCAATCCAACAGATAAAGTGCTTCCGAGGACATATAGAAGGAAATTCTTTACCCTTTGATGATGTGATAATCCTTCAACCTATGAACCATTTCTCATCCATCCCCATCTATGCTTCCTATACTCAGTCAGTTGCCAGTCAGTGCCTTCAAGTAGCACATGACTAATATCCAGCCATTCTTCTCATCTCTTTTGTTATCTTGTGCCTTGTTTGTGGCAAAAAATGTCGACCTCCCTCTCACACCTGAGTCTCTCCTCTTCTTCAGCCCAAATCATTTCTTTGTGCACTGAACATATGAAGGCCTGCTTTTAGTCCCCGGAGAGTCCGCTCCCAGCACAAAAACCTTTAAGCCTACTTCCTAGTTTGCCTTATCCATCTTGGCAGATCCATACCCATAACCTTCTTTGCTCAACAGCTCTTAGTGTCTTTTTTCTGCTTTATTGTGTGTCTGATTTCCTCCTAAAGTTTCATTTTAAATCTCAGCTTTCTTAATCCGTAATCTCCATTCCTGAGTCTTTGCATTAATAACGTTCATCATTATTTCCTTCATCAAAATCTAGTATGTCACATGTTGGTGAGGGACCTCATAGCACAATGTAACTAAGGGCATGGTTATCATAATCACCTTCCTTTTAGATTTATCTCTGGACAAGAATCACTTGGTGGCATTATTTCGACAACACTGAAAGACCTGAACAAACAGTGCAGGAATAAAGTAACATGGAATGTGATCATTCACTATTGCTCACATAAGAGGCTGACTGGAGAACTATGTCGGAGGTTTGTGGGTGGCGTCCCTTCTGGGCAATGCTTGTACACAGCCTTAAAACCCATGATTGTGGACTCGGATGTTTCTATGCTACGTGTCTGAAAACGTTAGCTCACCATGGAGCAGTCCAGTGTTTAAATGAAGCTGTGTTATCAATGCTTTGTGTCTTTCCTCCTCTTTTGGTCATAAACATAATCTGATTCTTTAAAACTAGAGGAATGAAAACACTGGGTGGCAGGGCTCTTGTCACTGAACTATCATTAATTTCCATGGCAGACAAATATAGAATTCTAGGAAGTGAAATGCCCAGAGGAATCGGTTTTGTAAAGCTTTGGTGTAGCTATGTGCTTTCAGATTTCTGATTTATGACAACCCTAAGGAGAATCTATCATGGGATGTTCCTGGCAAAATGTGTTCCTTTCTCTTAGTATGAGAGGGTGGGGTTTACCCAAGATCATCCAGGGAGACAGGATTTCAGTCCTGATCTCCAGAGCCATAGCCCAGCACTCGAACAACTATACCATGTTGGCTCTGGTATATTAGTCAACTACCCTACACTTGCTCATGTTCACTCCTTGATCAACATCAGGTGTTGATCTGCAAGTCTGAATGACAGTGTGATCTGCTGTCCTTTCATATCACTTTCAATGTCAACTTCTGCTATGAGACATCAAGCAATGAGCTAACTCTGGGCAGGAAAATTCAGATTAATTGAACGTAGTGCTTCAAAAGAGTGGCCAGAACAGTTCTCCTTGTTATGAACAGGCAGTCCTGTATTTCTGCATATAAGTGCTAAAGCAATAGTAGACTTTGCTCCCTTCTCCTGTGGTTGTCACACGGTTCCAGGTAGTGTGGGGAAAGTTCAACTTTAGACTGAGCTGGTTGCCTTTATGAATCTTAATTTGCCACACAGTATCTCATCTCAGGATTATGTCAGCACAATAAATTCTCATAATAGGGTTTGGAATGAGGGGTTTTTAAAATTTAGATACATTGGCAGAGATCCTGCATTTGGAGAAGTATATGACTCACCTTCTAAGCAGTGCAGTTTTCTGAACACAGTCGTTTCTGTGTTGTTGGATGGGGAATGAGCGAGCATGCTTCCCCCTTGTAGCTGGACATGCTGTGAAAGGCACCTGCAGAGATCCCTAGGGGTCCTTGCAAGCTCCCTGCAGATTACATCATTGCATCAGATCCAGTTGTGAGAAAATAGATATGTCACCACTCATCCCTTTCTTCTCAACAATATGGAAATGGCCATGTTGTGAGTTTGGGGACAAGCTGTCCTAATTATAAGGAGAATTGGAAAGAGAATTTGGGTGGATTTGGAATTTGACATAGCAGAACAGAATTCTGATCTATACAATAACCATAAATGTGAGCTGTGATGGCAAAATCTGACTTGTGTCAATCTTCATCCCTTACCAGGATGCCAGACATTGTCAGGATGGGGACCAATTGCATCTGTCATGGATAAGGAAAGAGATCTATGGTTAAATAACCATAGATTGCCCAATTTACATGCATGCACATATGTATAGTATGAGACAGCTTACTTTTATCAGCAAGAATAGATCAATGTGGTAAAAATATATTCACATAAGATTGCTGATCATTGACTGAAATAAATAAATAAATACAAACATACATTCACACTGTATGTAGGTCCAGGTCCCTCATTTAATAATAATAAGAAACTTTATTTTTAACCCACTTTCTCCCCCCCCCCCCCCCCCCCCCCCCCCGAAGGGACTCAGGGCAGCAGGGCAGCTTCCAAAGGCAATAAATGGCAAACATGCAAAGGCAATAAATGTCACGTGCAGTAACACAATAAAACATTAAAACAGCCAGTTAAAAATAAACAAACACCTTGACTAAAACATATAGAGCAGTCATAGTCATGCATCATAAACAAGACACTGAACAGTTTAAATATCTATAAAATCTAGCTCTTCAAGAAGTTAGGCTAATCATTGTCAGACTTTGATTTTGGATTACATGGTTTTTAATAATTTTAATACCGTAATTGGTTTATACTGAATTTAGATGTTTTTAACTTTTTGGTTTTAATATACCGTATATGTTTACTTCATTTGTATGTATGTATGTGCGGCATCGAATTGTTGCCTACTATAAGCCTCTCCGAGTCTCCTTCGGAGGTGAGAAGGGCAGGGTATAAATATAGTAAATAAATAAATAGATAAACATTGTCAGATGAGGTGGAATCAATAGTGAACTAATCTTCTTCCTCTCCATAGGCTAATGTACAAAAGTTGGTTTTTAGTTGTTTCTTGAAGGAGAGGAGTAAAGGGGCTGTTCTAATTTCTCTAGGGAGAAAGTTCCAGAGGGAAGGGGCGACCACGTAGAAGGCCCCCTCTCTCGTCCCCACCAGCCACGCTTGGGATGGGGGTGGGACCAACAGGAGGCCCCCTTCCGCTGATTGTAGTGTCCAAGTGTTTTTGTAGGCAGGGATGTGGTTTGTCAAATAGTCTGTCAAATAATTTGTCAAAAAATTATAGTTTTGCCAATTTGCCTGTAGTTTTAAATTGCTGTGATGATAATTCTGTACCTTTATTGTGTTCAGGCAATCATTGTATCCTGTAGTATGGTATTATCACTATTGTATTAATGGTCTAAAGTAGGATATCAGAGTAGAACTGTCTTGAAATCTATGTGTCTGTTTTAATTCATGAAGTTCTATAGATGAAGGTGAAATTTGTGTCAGATTCTATTACAAAAGCAAACACCCATTTTGGTACAAAGAGCAGCTCTCACTTTTAGCTAGAGTCCTGGGGTCCCACAAAAACATGGGCAAACACCTCCACGTTTATCCAATTCACTGTACACACATGCACACCCTTTCTCTCCTCCCTATATGCACATATCTCAGCAGCCAGGTAAGGAAAGGCATACACTCCTTTGCCATGCCCATTGACATATCAAAACGGCTGAGTTAGAGTGGATCTACTATTAAACCACCATGTAGTTGAGAGTACATTTTTTCTGCTTCTATTATCAGTGTAGCAGAAGCAGTCTCATTAGATATCAGTGGTGGGATGGGGCAAGATTCCTGCTCTCACCCCGCTGATATCTAGCAAGATTGCTGTTCTGACAGCACAGGTAGCTGTGTTCCGTATTTCCCACCTTAGTTAGGGGATAAAATGGAGTGGGTTCTACATATGTAATGGCTGCAGACCATGGGTCATGCACCCCTATTTGAAAATGTATGAGCTGTAAACACATTCTTCAGCCTAATACATGAACAAGGATGACTCCCCTCCTGTTTTTA